TCATTCATTCATTCATTGTGTAAAATCGGGCACCACTCGGGAGATTTCGGAAATGCAACCGTTGGAACAGCCGCTTCCCTACGACTTTAAGTCTGCTAAAATATATGAGCTGTATTTAAAATGTGACGGCTCCTGGAGAACAATAATTTTTAGTTAATTTCAGCAAAGTGGTGAAAACTCCAACCAGACCTAAACCAGAAGATTGTTAACGGATATAGAAAATGGTAGAGATAGAAAGTGCTAAGTAACTTTTTTAAATATACAACATGTGGATTTAGAGAAAATCTACCACAAATACAAAGTCAGCTGTTTGTTAAATAAGGATCCCACCATTGGGATGAAAAGCCAAATAAAGAACACATGCTACTATGGATACAGCAGTCAGTCATGAACATGAACTTTTCTGTCAGCATTATTATCACTCTGGGGTTGTTGAACATTCATGTGTGTCTTACCAAACTGTCCTGTTTCTGCAGCCTAATTAATCGCTGTAGGCTGAGGATAAATGGGGAGCCGCTTGTGATGACATCACTGCTTGTTATCAGTTTCCTGCAACCGCTGTGTGAAGGCTATATGTCAGTGTGCGTCTTTCATCTCAGCAGGAAAGCATCTTTCTCCTCTGCAGGGGCATTATTACCACCCAGCCTCTCCCTGCTGTCAGAGCTGCTGGGAAAATGAGCGATGGTCTCTGCTGAACCGCGCGCTGACCTGCTAACCTTTCATTAACTGGTCGGGGTTTCATCATGGCGAAGTTCAGGAAGGCTCCTCAAAGGGTCACATGTTCTATCATAATTACTTTATTACTGTCGATGTTACCCATGAATCACTAAATCTGGGTGAAAGCTTTGTTTTTATTACAATTATATTGGTTTTCAAGTTTATTTCAAGCTCTTAGATTTACAATCCAAAAACTAACGTTTAAGCGTTGACATATATATTGGCAGTTGCAAGTATCAAAGCTTACTAAGATAAAAGAAAAAGAAAATTGTAGCATAGTGAGCTAGGCTGACTTCTGCCATGTTTTAAACCCAGCTTATCTATCTGGGAAAGCTCAGAGTCTCTGATCTAAAATGGACCGGATCAATCAGAGTATTGGAGTTAACAATTGCTCCAAAATTACCCATAAAGCAGCAGCACTTTTCTGTTACTATCGTAGTCAAAATGTTTTAGTGATGACTCTTATCATGAGCCGAATTCACCATATAAACATATAAAATTAAATAAAACTATATAAGTATATAAAGTTTCAACCATTGATGACACTAAGAGCTTTTAATAAATTTTTTCTTACATTTTTGCATCATGTCGGAAGTTATCTGATTGGTTCTAATCAGTTTCTTTCTTTTGGTTTGTCCTGTCTTTATAATGTGGCTCTACCTGCTGCATTCTGGAGTGCAGAAATGGCAAAAGTATTCACTTTCCATACTTGAGTAAAAGTACAGATACTTGTGTTAAAAAATACTCTGG